ATACTATTGTGGAAAATGCGTCTTTTATGATTGGCTTTTCACAAATAATAAAATGAATATTATGTGTATTATGTTAGAAAGTTATGCTGTATTAAATAAGTAGTGTGTTAAATATAGTTTTAGGTTATAACATAAGGTTAAAATAGAAACTATGCTATGTAAGATACTTTTTTTTCTAAAGGAAGGACTTGAAGCGAACTAGCAGCCACAGGACACCTGAATCTTTCAGAGAAAGAGAACTTATTGCTCTCTTATAAAAAAAAAACTAACTTCTTCCCGCCTCGCTCACTCCTGAAGATGCCGTCAGGATTCAGAGGAAGAAGCTGGCACTGCCCAGACAGAATCCTGTGTTTGAATGTAATTTATGCATCATGTATGAGCTGTATGAATATGCAACAGGCTGTTGTTTTTAAGGTTTAATCCTCTGTTAACGTGGGTCCTTTTTTGGGCTTATTTTGCCCACAAAGAGGTACCCGGACTGTCCATAACTCCTTGTTTTTATTGTCTCATATTGTCTTGATCCAAATTGTCCAAATTTTTATTACTCTAATTATATAGCTATTTTTATAGCTATTTTATTGCTATTAAACTTTTACCATTTTAAGAAGAAGTGATTGGCATTTTCACACTATAATTATACAATTACATAATAATAATAGAATATATATGACATAAAATATAAAATTATATAATCATATATAATATAATTAATATTAATTTTTATCTAATTATACAATACTACCCAAACCCATTAAAAAAACACACACAAAAAAAACTAACCTCTACCCTAAAACTTCCATTTTAGTTTATACATATTATTATAGTGTAAAATCTTAAACTCTAAGTTTTCTACTATATAGTTTAACTATATATAGTTAAACTATCACTATAGTTAATTATATATAGTTTTTTTCTACTATATAGTAGTGCACACTTCTATTCAAACTACACACCTATAATATTAATTCTCTCACTCTGTTTAAAAAACTTTCTCCATAACTTCAAAACAAATGCAATATTCTCAATACCTATCAACATAAAAAAATCTGAAATTCTCAATAACCAAAATTCCAACACGAACCAACACAATAGATTTCACAGCAGCATGTGTCCCTCTAGCAGGGCTGGAAGCACAGGCACAAAGTCTCCCTGCCTGGGATGACTCACAGTAATATCAGCTTGATCTTATACAGCATCTCCCGTGCAGGTACTCCTTATTAAAGAAGCATCACTTTCTAAAGAAAAAGCTGAGGCACAAGGCAGTGCTGGTCACTGCTTGACCTGTGGCTCAACAACGTGGTTTTAACCAGGGAAATCCTCAGTCAAGAGGAGCATGGGCTCAGGACACACATGACAGCATCAGACTGTCACCAACAGTTAAATACACACATGGGGCTGCTGGGTTCTGCTGATCCTATCAGCCCATGTGTAATTATCTGTAGCTTTGCCAAACTTTAATTTTCAGGTGTGGAAAATTTAGATCAGAAACTTTTCTCTCTTTTTTTTTTCTTTTTTTTTTTGGTTTGTTGACTAGTTGTTTTATTGGGTTTTTTTATTAATTTGGGGTTTGGTTTTTTCTCAGGGTGTGGGTTGTGAATTCTCTCTGCTTTTAGCTGAGTTGGGTCCAAGAATGAAACAATTTTTTCTACTGTAATTCTTAACATCATTATGAACTATATTAACAAAAATAATGACTTATCTTGTCACCCAAAATTTGAAACAAAACAAAAATATTAACAGCCCAGTCTGCGTTTTCTGACTGCAATTCCCCAGTCACATTGACACAGCCATCAAGCACACATGGAAATTTCTCCTCTGGGATCCTGAGTGTTCATTCATGACTAATTTAAAGTCATTATTAATGTGATGGGGTCACTAAGTGGCACAGCATGTTGGGAGGAGTCAAGAAAGCCACCAGGAAAATAAATCCCCAAGTTTCCTCCAGCAGATGCTGGTGAAGAGGTCCGTGACAGGACAGTGCCTGCAGCTGTCCACAGGGCTGGGTCCCACAGTGGAGTGGATGAAAGTTTCCAGCCCACAAAAATAACACAAAAATGTCCTTCTGCTGGACAGATTGTGGCCACAGACAGGATTCAGGTGCTGGTGCTGTTACACCACAGTCCCATCTGGATGCTGGGAATTTTCTGGTGCATTGGGAGCTCCTGCATCTCCTCTGGCTGCAGGAAGCTGCGCTGCTCTCCTGCACCACCACATGCGAGCGTTTTCTCCCAGAGCCAGACTGAACCCGGCACAGGTCCAAGCAGGCATGTGACTTCCAGCCCCGGTAGCTCAGCAACGCCGTCCCTGGGCTTCACCCTGCTCCTCCCAGCCCTGGCATTCACCTTGTGAATAAAACAGCCCTTTGTGGCCAGCAGCAGGGTGTCACATTCACTGCTGGCACAGGGAGGTGGATAAATACCCACGGCCTTTCAGCGCAGAGACAGACCACATCTTCCTTCCCCAGAAAGATGAGGGCCAGAGATTAAGAGTAAAATGTTTTCAAAAGCCTTGACCCAAGCAGGGGGTGCTGGCAGCTTTGCCAGAATGCTTGAGGGGCACCTAGGAGCCACGACTTTGCTGGGTCACTGCATGGGAATAGCAAGGGCAGGTTTTAAATTTCTTCATCACTTATGAATGTGGGGTCTGGGCATGGAACATTCACAACTGCAGGAAAGGAGGGAAAATGCAGAGAAAACACCCTTTGGGAGCCAGCCTCTAGAAAGAGATGCCTTCTTCTTTCCTTAACAGGCTGGATAAGCAGTTTTGATGGGATACAGATACCCAGCATCCCCAAGGCAGCCTTGAACAGACACCAGGACTGAGTAAGTAACAGTGCCTGAAGTCCTTAATTACCTTGTAGCAAAAAGCGTAAATCGATGAACAGTGGCACGTCTGAGGAGCAGTGTGTGATTTCACTCAATCAAATAAAAGAAGAAAAATGTGGCTCTAAAGTCTATTCATTAAAGTTTCTGGCTGATGCAGGCAGAATAAATTCACAGCTGTGGTGGACTCTATCTCCTTTTCCTATGTGGAAGTGCACAAATGCTCCCTCACTTTTCTGTAGGAACCAAATATTCTTCCAAGGGGAGGTATTAGTGTGGGTGCCAGACTGCCATTTTAAGGAAATTCTAGTTGTTTTTTTCTTAAATGCTTCTAAATAAAATTGAAGCATTATAAGTTTCATCTTATGGGGAGTGTTCTTTGTCAAATGTTCATTGTTGAAGGATTTTAATCCAGGACACTGAAATTTAATTTTCAGTCAAAAAATTTGGTTTTCTGCCACAGAACTTTAGTCCTTTTGAAAGGACTATTCTACTTTTATATTTTAGCAGTGTATAATAGGGAAAATGAGGAGTAAATATTATGGACTACTGCAGTAATCAGACAGTAGGAAAAATATAAAAACATGGGGGTTTGGTAACCCCCTAATATCCATCAGCAGTCTTTTGAAGAGATTGACCCTTTGTCCCTCCAGTCCTCTTTGTAAATGAGGTGACGGCATTTCCCTCCTCAGCACTTTATAAAATCAGCACTTTGACATGAAAACAGCACTGATTTTAACAATTTAACCTTATTTGCTGCAGGGGCAAAGAGATGCTAAGCCAGCCATTAAAATTTTCATAATATCAACCCAGTCAGTTGCATTGCCCTGATCCCACAAACCTCATTTCCCTTGGGGAATCAGGGCAGCCAGGGTGACCAAGAGAGCTCCAAACCAGCAGGATCCAGCTCAAACCATGGCCTAGATGAAGATACCCCAGGGATCCCACAGGGACACTGCTTCCCCTGAGGAGAGATCCCTGAGGACTGGCTCAGCAGGCCTGGATCCCTTTCCATACAGAAGGACAGCCCATCCTGAGCAGTGTGTGGTGATGGGGAGCACAATTTGCCTCCCCCTTCACTTTGGCTACACAAAATGGTGTCAGAGGAGAGCACAAACACCTCCGGCCATGGACACTTGTAATGCCTTCTCTCACCCCAAAAATCCATGGTAATTCTCCAATGTGCAGGGTACAACTGCAACCACTTCTCGATCAGCAAACCCCTCAGTGCCCTGCACCAAGACCAGCATTACCTGTGCCAGAGGAGGGTGGTGTGACAGATCCTGGGCTGTCATCCTCGGGCTCTGACACTGTCACTGTTGGCACCACCTCGTGGCTTGGCTTCAGGCCGGTGTCCGGCTGAGTTGGGCTCGGCTCTTTGCTGGCAGCTTCCTTGGTGTTTTCTGTCTCAGTGAGCGTGATCTTGACAGGGGTTGTACCCCCAGAGGGACTGTGCTGACCCCCAGACTTCCTGTCTTCCAGCAGGTCTTGTTCCTTGGCTGCCTTTGTGGTCTCAAAAGGCATCTGTGGAGGTTCGGAGGCGTGGCTGGACCCCACGGGTGTTCCCCGGTACTTATCACTAAGGCCTGGGCTCTCATCTTCTGAGTCAGAGTCGTGTTTTTCTTGGTACTTTATTTCTTCTGATCTACTCATGTCCATGTATTTGTAACCTTCTACTTTCATGGGATCTGCTAAGGTTTTGTCGACTTCAGTAGATTCTGCAGGAGTCATCTCTATTCCCGAGTCTGAGCTAAACAAGCCACGGGACTCAAACCCAGTCACGTCTTGAACAGGATGGCCCAGGGCATTAAACCCCTCCGTGCTGCCTGAGCAGGGAATGGGGGTGTTCTCCTGCTGATAGATGCCTGTGAAATAGGTGGAGTCCCGTGGGGTGGTGTAGTGGACATCGGAGATCAGGGAGGTGTAGAAGGAGTTGTCCCCTCCGTTGGCAGTGGAGCCATAGTCGAAGAGATGTGACGAGCCTGTGACACCTGAAGCAAACACACAAAAAGCAGGCACAGTGAGACACAAGTGCCTGCAGGATTTCTGCATCAAGCTTTCTGCAAAGCCACGCTCACCCCCTGCTGAGCTGAGTTTCGGTTTGTGAACCAGACTTGACTTTGCTTGCAAGCTCTTGGGGACTGTCTCTTTCTATGCCTCTGGGCAATATAGTGGCACATCTGTCACACAAGGCTTCCAGCTGCTGTTCTATCTTAAAATAGCTATAAGGATCCTGATAGTAACTAAATATTCCTGGCCAATGTTTGCCCAACCTGTAAATGAAAACTTCCTATGATTGCAACCTCACAGCATCCCTCACAATCCAACCCAGGGGCTCAGCCCCCAATATCCTTAAAAGAAATCTAATGTCCAATACTAAACCAATATTTCTTTTTGAATACATGGAACTGGAGGAACTTCATCCTAACTAAACTTTTCATGTTGAAAAAAAAATCTGCTGGACAGAAATTGAGAGGGCAAGTTGCAAGCAGATTTAGATTACATTTTCTCTTAAGAGTAGCCACCCTAAATTTGTGAAACACCAAGGCAGAAACTCAACACCCTCATTTAGTGATTTCCACATGTTCAGAAAGCTGTAGCCCATGTGCATCATCTAGAAATCATGCTGGCATTTAGGTGGTTAAACCCCTGCATCATTTTCATGCCTCTAATTCCCTCTGCCACGCTCTCAGCTCCTCGGGATGATGCTAATTAAATTAGAAACAGCGGCCACTCTCCCTCTGCAGCATCCATACAAAGCACAGCTCGAGGACACGAACAGCGAGATCCCCCACCAGGGAGGGGGGAGAGAGGATTCCTGTGGGGGCTGAGGGAATGGGAAGAGGAGGAACAAAGCCAACGTCTGTAGGAGCTGCTGCCTATGGGAGGGAGCAGCCTGTTAACCCCTCGTGTGCTGAAGCATCTCAGGGGCTGGCTGGCTTTCTCCAACCTCTGCTCATCACCTGCGAGGGATGTGAGGCTCCTGACCTGCTCCACACAAGCCTGGGCCACCACACACTGTCACTGACATATTTTATGAAAAATCCTTTCGTTAGGATTTTTTCTCCTGAGAAGCTGAGAGGCCTCAGAAACGAAATGTCAACAATGGCTATCTGCTGCTGTGGAATGCAACAGGTGCATCTGTGATTGGTCTCATGTGGTTGTTTTTAATTAATGACCAATCACAGTCCGGCTGTCTTGGACTGTCTGGTCAGTCACAAGATTTTATTATCATTCCATTCTTTTCCTTTCAAGCCTTCTGATGAAATCCTTTCTTCTATTCTTTTAGTAATTATATTATATTATATTATATTATATTATATTATATTATATTATATTATATTAGCCTTCTGAAACATGGAGTCAAGATTCTCGTCTCTTCTCTCATCTGGGACCCCTGTGAACATCACAACAGACAGTGCAGACTTTATCACAAAACTAAAGGGACACTGCTGCAGCTGCAAAGCCAGAAGCTGGAACATGTCCATGCAAAAGCTCCCAAGGTACTTGCATTTGAGTATTTCCTTCCCCATTGCACAAACAGATACTGATACCATCTCTAAACACCACCACAACTGCTTTTCCCCACTGCCCTCCGTGCATCAGGCATGTGCAGCTCATTTAGGGAGCCCTGAAGCAGTATTTTCTGCCCTGTAATACTTCAGAGTTGTAGCTGAAGGCTTTATTTTACTGCACAGCCTCACTGGACTTGACACACACACACACACCAAGCCCTGCACAAAGGCAGAGTGATTGTTTCCCTCATCTTATTTCTGCATTGTGCAGTGTTGTGATGTCTAACAAGCAATTTCTTTTCCCTGGATTGCCTCTAGGCTGGGAACAACACGTCCGTCCCATTACAAGAGGAAACCTGGTAGCACAGGGGAAAAAACAACCCAAAAGTGCTACTCCTTGTTTTTCATCCTACCTGTGCTACCTGCTGCTGTGTCCCCATCCTCCCTGGCTTTGGGGGCAGCCCTCCCTGCTAATCTGCCCCTGCACACACGGTGCAGGCAGCAGCTCCATCCCCACAGCCAGGGATTTGTAGCAGCCTTTGCCACAGGAGAGCACAGAGCAAGGGGTGCTGCAGCCAGCAGGTGGAAAATCATCCATTCCCAGTCATTCCCAGCCTTCAGCTGGGTATTCTCACTGCTGTGTAGCACTGCATAGAGCTTTTCATAGAAATATTTATCATCCTGGCAAGCTCTTGCTTCAGAGTGGTGAGGGGCACTGTGGAGATGTGAACTTGGGGCTTATTTCCCCCTCTCTATCGATGCACCTTTACATTTAACGGTGGCATTCACATTTTCTGAAAAAATTCCTTTGCCCAGGATTTTTCTCCTGGGAAGCTGAGAAGCCTCAGAGGAAAGGAAAACAACTCTTATCTCATTTGCTTCTCCTGTGTTTTGCTCATGTGGAATGTGTTTGGATATTGTTTACCCACAGATGATTGTTCCATTGGGTTCTGGTGTGAGTTGTTTTGGCTCATTGGCCAATCAGGGCCAAGCTGTGTCAGGACTCTGGAAAGAGTCACTAGTTTTCATTATTAGCTTTTTAGCATTTAGTAAGTCTCCTTTCTGTATTCTTTAGTATAGTACAGTATTCTTTAATATAATATCGTATCATAAAGTAATAAATTAGCCTTCTGAGAACATGGAGTCAGATTCATCATTCCTGCCTTCGTCAGGGCATTCCTGCAAATACAATATTTTACTACTCAAAACTTAACCTTCTGTTTTCCTGCCAGCTCCCTGAGGGCTGCAAGATGCTTTTGTGACTTGCTGCAGGCAGATCCCATCTTCACTGCTCCCAATAACTTGGTCCCAACAGCTAAGCTATGTGAGAATGAAGCCTACAGGAAAAACCACAGCAAAACCAAAGCAGAATAAGGGATAAACTGGGCTGCTCAACACCCAGGGTCTACCTGAGGTCATCCAGTGCCTTGCAACAACAGCTCATACCCAGAACACATTCCTAAATGAGCAGTAAGCAAAAAGGGAAAGGTTCTATTCCTTGCCAGTGCTCTTCTTGCTGAACTTGCCTTTCTGAAAATTATCCATGAACAGGCTTGGATTTTCACAAATGTGTTGGTTAGCTGGAATTATCTGATGCATTGTTTACGCCAACATATTCCAGACTGTGAATTGCTGACTGCAGACTATTCATGCCTGTTGCTGCCAGTATCTGCTGTTTGTAATTTACTATTTGTGCTGGGTGAGTGGCTGTCTGAATCACAGGGTTTCAGGGCTGCTCTTTGACTAAATGCTTCCTCAGTGCCTCCTGGACCTGCTCCAAAGCCCACTGAATCCACTGGAAAAGTCCCACTGACCCTGAGTGGCTGTGGACCAGCTCAAGATGGCTGTGGAATACTTTCTGCTCATGAGGAATACACTGTCACAACACCATCAGAGGGCAAAAATCCATTCCTACAAACATCCCAATATTGCTAGGAGAGAGGGAGCACAAACAGAGACGAAGGAGATTGAAGCCACTGCCAAAGCACTATTCACAGATGCTGCTCACAGCTTTCATTTGTGCTTTGTCCACAGTACATGGGAGCCAGAAGCACAAGCATTTGCAGCTCTTAGCAATGCTGATCAATAGAGCAGTGAAAAGGTTTCTAATGCATTTTTGTCAGGTGCTTCATAGCAGGAGTTATAGCCTGAGCAGCTCACGGGAGTGATAAAGTGAGCTCACAGTGATAAAGAGAGGTTGAGAAAATACCATCCTAATCTTCAGGTTATTCCTCAGCAGAAAGAAAAGTAACCCTGAAATAGTCATTGACACAAACATCACATTTTCAAACATCATATTTTCAAATAGTACAAACCCAGTACTGTAGCAGATGTTAACAGAGGAGCTGATTTAGAATAGAATCACTATCAATCATAAACCTTTTTGGGTTTTTTCCCTGCAGCAGCCTTGCAAATAGAAATGAAACCAGAAAATGCATTTCCTACTGAGGCTGAGGAGGAGAGAGAGTTACAGGGTATGCGAGCAAAGGGAGGGTTCACATTAGCAGGACATATGGGGATCCCAACTCTCAAGGCGACAGCAGAGTCAAAAGCACTGAAGACAGCTGAAATTGCCTAATTAATAGGATTTAATGTAACTCCCTATTTCCACTGGGATTGATTTAAAGCCGTTGCCAAAACTGCCTCTCATTTGGGAAGTGTGAATCTCTCAGCTATTAGACTGGCTATTAAAGACATGGAAACTTATAATAGCTGAGCAGATTTTTGCTGAAAAGTAATGTGCTCAGAGTCTGGTGATTAAGCAATGCCCTCTCTGACTTTAAGTTTATTTGGTTCAATATCCGTGGGAAGGAGAAGCCTTGAATAGCACTGATAATAGATGACAGTATCAGGTCTGAATTTACCCTTGTTACAAAGGTTGGGGGTTTTTTTAATCTGGATTTCACTCAAAACTGCCCAAAAACTTGCCTGCCAATTCAGGTGAAGGAAAGCTATTCAGCTCCTGAGAGCAGCAGTTGTGCTTTCTTGTAACACGAGCCCTCGGGAAATAATTTCACTTCCTGCAACCAGCTAAGAAGTAATGGGTCTGATTCAATCACTCCAGCCCAGCTGAGATGCTCAGCAAGTTACATGTGTTTTCATCAACTGCAAAGGGAAAAAAAGATTGGAAAATGACTGTTTTGTTTGCTCAGAAGAAGTGAATGCTCCAGAAATCCTCTCCTGTGGAACTGGATTTAGAGCTATTTAACAATTGATACAGGAAATAATTTAGAAATCATCGGTTCCATGCAGAGTAGCTTTTAATTTAAGAAAGGCAGCTCAAGACCAATTTGGATCAAGGCAAGCTGCTCTGCTGCAGCTCACTGGAACAGGGAAGAAAAAGTTAGCTGAGGATCACAATCAAGAAAAAGAGCAGATTTAAATAAAAGTGATTCCCTTTTTCCCCCAACTAGAGTATTCTTGGCCTTATTAAAATTGATCACTTCTTAATATTGTGCTCAACTTTTAAGAAAATA